TGGTGGAATGGAACTCTCACATGTCCTGTAGTTAAAGGATGAAATGCACCTGGAGGCACCAGGGGCCTGATACAGAACCATGTGTTATTGTGATGCAGCTGAGCACAAAAACACACCATGTGTCGCCTCCTTCTCAATGGAACTAAATTGTTTGTGATTGGGGGAATCAGTGCCGTGAAGTTTAGACTGTCTGGGAACACGTCCAAAGTGCCAGCTGCACAATATAATGCTCTGCTCCTGGAGAGAGAAGACACCTGTGAGTCCAGTTCAACCAGGACTGTTCACATGAAGAAGGAAGACCATGAAACATTATATATATATATCTATATATATATACGCGTTAAAAATCCACTTTTTTACCAAAATCCACACAGGGAATAAAGCCACACATCCACAATGTATTGTATTCAGATTCAGACTAACTTTATTGATCCCAAAGGGAAATGTATTTGGAGCAGAATCTCAGAGGAGAACACGCACACACAGACACATAGACACACACACACAGACACACACACACACATAGACACACACAGACTCTAGACGTCTGAGGGACAGGAAGTAAATCTCCCCATTAGGAACAATGTAAATATGTAATATAGTTGTGGCGATTGCTCGTATCAAGTGCAGAAGTTATGGAGTCTATAATTTGCTATAATGTATTTCTGTAAAGGGGTTCAATATTTAAGAAAAGGCGTAAAAAGGTATGATAGCACTAGCATTAGCTTTAGCCTGTGTAGCATCTGCAGACACAGACAGTCCGTCTTCACTTAACTGACTTTCATAGAAACAATGCAGTATTTTTGTGTGGATACGGTTGTAGTAACCAAGGCAACAGGGAGAAAAAAGTATTAAATACATTTTTAAATGCCAAAGGTCGCCTTTAACCAACATCTTCTCATAAAAAAACTAAAATCAGGCTGTACAATCCAGTCTTCTCATCTAGCCGAAGTGTTATGTGAGTGATTGTTTGTTATTTCCACAACCCTAAACTGAGGACCAGGGTCTGGGGCCGAGAGTTTCAGGGTTATGTCTGAAGTTGTGTCTGAGCTCTGTGCCCCAAGGACGACTGCGTTCATTACAGATACCCGCTGTTAGCTTACTGCTGTTAGCTTACTGCTGTTAGCTTACGGTCAGCACTAGATCATATACGGAATCGGGACGGAAGCGGAAGTAAATATTACAAATTACCTATTAATGCCTAAATTTAACCAGCTATTCCCATAAAATAACCCCAACCCAGCCTTAACCCTAACCTTAACCATCTTACTCAGACGCCTAAAACTTAACCAGTCACCACTTAAGGACATATTAGTCTAAAACTAATTCGAAAGTACGAGTGTTACTTCCGGTTTCGTCCCGATTCCGTATATGATCTAGTGCCGACCGTTAGCTTACTGCTGTTAGCTTACCGCTGTTAGCTTACTGCTGTTAGCTTAACGGTGCAGAGTTTCCCCCCGGAGATTAAAGTGGTTCTCACCCCCGCTCCTCGGAGCTTACGTCACTCACATTTCCTGTTCAAATCTTCCTCTAAATGGGCGTAGCCTGGAGGACTAAAGGGGGCGTGAACGAGACTGGGCCGTTTACATTGCTCTGGGCGGGGGGCTGCTGACGTCAGGTCTTGCTTCAGACGTTAGGTCCAACTTGCAGACGTCAGGTCCAACTTCTGTGCCAGTGTTGGCGCCAGATTCAAAATTCAAATGTAGTAATACAGGTCGCCAGCAGATGGCGCCTCACAGACGGTTTTAGGCAGAAAGATTAACTTTCAACTAATTTGCACCAAAGTGACAAAAATATGACCAGGATATGTAGACAACACTATTGGACACTCATTTAAATCGTTTATCAGCAAAAAAAAGTGGATTTGAGGGTGAGTTGTCCTTTAAGTCCAAACTTTTGTTTTATTTAAACGTTAAATAATAAAATAGTACTTGTTCAAACTGCGCTGCATTGAATATAGTTTTCACTGATAATGAGAGCGATACTAAGCTGTGAAAATCTCCAGTGTGTGATTTCCTGCGTCGCCCTTTCTATAGGACAAAAGTACTTCCTGTCCTACGGCCCACTGCCTCTTTGTCACGTAACCCAGCGATTGTAAAAATGGTTTTCTGAGCTGGAGCAATAAAACAACGCTCTGTAGGCATCAAAACAAAGTCAGTGATCAGTGGATGTTTGGGCTGAGCCAGAACACACTTTATTCTGCACCTGTTCCTTCCACAGAGAGTGAGGCCCTGAGAGTTCTCACTATTCTCTGCAACTTGTTTCTGTCTTTCAGGGTCAGGCTTTGGAACCAACAGATCAAAGAAAACTGAGAAGGTTTCAGTAAAAGATCAGTAAAAGTTATAAAGAATTGTCCTGTTTTCATTAAGAGTTGATTTTCCTCAGCAGGTGTTTTCTCTGCTGCCCTTGTCTCTGGATCCAGTGTTTTATGTTAAACTTCAGTCTGTTGTTGATCAGTGCTGAAAGTGTGGAGACGGTTTAATACTTAAATCACGTCTGCAAAAGTGACGCTGCTCGAGGCGTTCTGAAAGAAGGAAGAGCAGAAAACACCAAAGTCGACTGTGGTAAACAAGGTGCGAGCGTTTCTGACAAATATCCAATCCACTTTATTTATATAGCACATTTTATAAAACACGTTTCCAAAGTGCTGCAGAGATAAAAGTGACAGGTTTATAACATACAGGTGAGCAAGCAGTAGCACGGTGGCTGAGTGGATAGCACTCTCGCCTCTCAGCAAGAAGGTCCTGGGTTCGAATCCCGGTCGGACCAGGGCCTTTCTGAGTGGAGTTTGCATGTTCTCCCCGTGTCTGCGTAGGTTTCCTCCGGGTACTCCGGTTTCCCCTACCACTAAAAATATGTCCAATAGGCATGTCTGGCATGCGCCTCCTGTACCGGCCCCGCTCCCATCTCTGTGTGGAGTGAGAGACAAATGCCCAAAATTAACAATTGTAAACCGCTTTGAGACTCAGATCTGCAGTGAAAAGGCGGTATATAAATAAAGATTACTATTACTACTACAAGCATAAGAAATAGAGTAGATTAAACAATTATGATGTGTGCAGTAACAACAATACATATTTAATAAAAATAGGGGCGACAGTAGCTCAGTTGGTAGAGCATTGGCCTTAGAACCTGAAGGTCATGGGTTCGAGCCACCGCACCTACTTCACGACTCCCACTGATGACTGCTTTCGTTGTGTCCTTGGGCAAGACACTTAACCCCACTTTGCCTGAAGCTGAAAGATCTCAGCTCCTGTGGACTCAGCTCCTGCAGAAGGATCAGTGAGGGGCTGGTGCTCTGACTGCCACCCCCCCCCCCCCCAACCCAGAAATGGATTAAGGGGAAGAAAATGGATGGATGGATGGAAAAATAACAATAAATACATTAAAATAAATAAAACGGATGAGACAGAGGACCACACAACTCACGCGGTACTGAAAGCCAAAGAGTGAAAGTGGGTCTTAAGACGAGATTTAAAACTGTCCAACAAATATGAAGCTGTTATAAATGACGTTTACAACACGAAAAACACTGTAATTCAATTCTGCTTCGTTTGTTCGTGAATGGCCCTAAATTAAAACAGTAAATGTGTATATGTGGTATATCTCAGAGGACTTTACATCAAACAAACTGTTCATTATATTTGGAAATCTTGACTTTTATACTTGTTTCATAGTATATATTTTGAAATAATTAAATTTCCTGCTGTGAGACGAATAAAGCATCTCTTTGCACTTGATTAAGATTTTATTTTCAAATTCTAAAACATTAGATGAAAGTAAATGTCATGAGTTTGTTTAATGGACTAAAGTCATGCGTAACAAATATAACTTCATCTTGTCTCAAAGAATAGATTTCAGGGACTGGCCTCCTGCTGGAACTCTGAGGAGCACAGGGACTTGTCTCCTGCTGGAACTCTGAGGAGCACAGGGACTGGCCTCCTGCTGAGACTCTGAGGAGCACAGGGACTGGACTCCTGCTGGGACTCTGAGGAGCACAGGGACTGGCCTCCTGCTGGGACTCTGAGGAGCACAGGGACTTGTCTCCTGCTGGAACTCTGAGGAGCACAGGGACTGGCCTCCTGCTGGGACTCTGAGGAGCACAGGGACTTGTCTCCTGCTGGTACTCTGAGGAGCACAGGGACTGGCCTCCTGCTGGGTCTCGGAGGAGCACAGGGACTGGCCTCCTGCTGGGTCTCGGAGGAGCACAGGGACTGGCCTCCTGCTGAGACTCTGAGGAGCACAGGGACTGGCCTCCTGCTGGGACTCGGAGGAGCACAGGGACAGGCCTCCTGCTGGGTCTCGGAGGAGCACAGGGACTGGCCTCCTGCTGGGTCTCGGAGGAGCACAGGGACTGGCCTCCTGCTGGGACTCGGAGGAGCACAGGGACTGGCCTCCTGCTGGGACTTGGAGGAGCACAGGGACTGGCCTCCTGCTGGGACTCGGAGGAGCACAGGGACTGGGACTCTGAGGAGCACAGGGACTGGCCTCCTGCTGGGACTCTAAGGAGCACAGGGACTGGCCTCCTGCTAGGACTCTGAGGAGCACAGGGACTGGCCTCCTGCTGGGACTCGGAGGAGCACAGGGACTGGCCTCCTGCTGGGTCTCGGAGGAGCACAGGGACTGGCCTCCTGCAGATTTATTACCAAACAGTCTTCAAACAACTGAGGGATTTTGTTTTACTCTTTTTTGTTTTAGTAATGAGATTATTTATATTCTAATGCCTTATTGTTGTGTTGTTTTGTTCAGCACTAGTGTATGAACTGTGCTATACAATTAAATAATGAATACTTTCCATCTTAATCTCCAAAACTCTGCTCTTTAAGCCTGACCGATGGGACCAAGGAAGGACCTATAATCTAACTTTTGATAAAATGCGTCTGTGCTGTGTCTAATAAATGGGTTGAGTCATGGTTTTCACTGAAGAAAGACTTTTGTCAATTAAAACAGTTAAATGAAAGCCTGCATTAATCTGGTCTCGTCCCGACTGCTCACGTCTCATGGACAGACATGAACAGGTTTGAGACACCTCAGAATAATTGGGCAGATGTGACGACCTTTTCATTATCCGTGCTTTGAATCCATTTCAGGAGTCAGAAAGTCAAAGAGGCACTAAACCCGAGGAAATGAAATCTGCTGCCCTTGTCTCTGGATCCTCAGTGTTTTATGTTAAACTTCAGTCGATCAGTGCTGAAAGTGCAGAGACGGTTTAATACTTAAATCACGTCTGCAAAAGTGACGCTGCTCGAGGCGTTCTGAAAGGAGAAAGAACAGAAAACACTAAAGTCGACTGTGGTAAACAAGGTTTCTGACAAATATCCAAACCACTTTATACAGCACATTTTATAAAACACGTTTCCAAAGTGTTGCAGAGATGAAAGTGACACATTTATGGTATACAGGTGAGCTTAGCATAAAAAATAGAATAGTTGAAAGAGTTATGATGCGTGCAGTAAAAACAATACATATTTACAGAGTCCCATGCAAGCCAGCGCCAACTGAGACACCCTCTTCCTTGTTCCTCCCACAGCACCTCTGTAATCATGGAGTACCATCCAGAGACGCACCTAGAAAAAAAGCAGGAGGAGAGTCCTGGCTGCTGCTGCTGGAGGTGGAGGCGGGTGGAGCAGGAGGAGAGTCCTGGCTGCTGCTGCTGCTAGAGGTGGAGGCGGGTGGAGCAGGAGGAGAGTCCTGGCTGCTGCTGCTAGAGGTGGAGGCGGGGGGAGCAGGAGGAGAGTCCTGGCTGCTGCTGCTGCTAGAGGTGGAGGCGGGTGGAGCTGGAGGAGAGTCCTGGCTGCTGCTGCTAGAGGTGGAGGCGGGTGGAGCAGGAGGAGAGTCCTGGCTGCTGCTGCTGCTAGAGGTGGAGGCGGGTGGAGCAGGAGGAGAGTCCTGGCTGCTGCTGCTGCTAGAGGTGGAGGCGGGTGGAGCAGGTGGAGAGTCCTGGCTGCTGCTGCTAGAGGTGGAGGCGGGTGGAGCAGGAGGAGAGTCCTGGCTGCTGCTGCTAGAGGTGGAGGCGGGGGGAGCAGGAGGAGAGTCCTGGCTGCTGCTGCTGCTAGAGGTGGAGGCGGGTGGAGCAGGAGGAGAGTCCTGGCTGCTGCTGCTGCTAGAGGTGGAGGCGGGTGGAGCAGGAGGAGAGTCCTGGCTGCTGCTGCTAGAGGTGGAGGCGGGTGGAGCAGGAGGAGAGTCCTGGCTGCTGCTGCTAGAGGTGGAGGCGGGTGGAGCAGGAGGAGAGTCCTGGCTGCTGCTAGAGGTCGAGGCGGGTGGAGCAGGAGGAGAGTCCTGGCTGCTGCTGCTGCTAGAGGTGGAGGCGGGTGGAGCAGGAGGAGAGTCCTGGCTGCTGCTGCTGCTAGAGGTGGAGGCGGGTGGAGCAGGAGGAGAGTCCTGGCTGCTGCTGCTGCTAGAGGTGGAGGCGGGTGGAGCAGGAGGAGAGTCCTGGCTGCTGCTGCTAGAGGTGGAGGCGGGGGGAGCAGGAGGAGAGTCCTGGCTGCTGCTGCTGCTAGAGGTGGAGGCGGGTGGAGCAGGAGGAGAGTCCTGGCTGCTGCTGCTAGAGGTGGAGGCGGGTGGAGCAGGAGGAGAGTCCTGACTGCTGCTGCTAGAAGTGGAGGCGGGTGGAGCAGGAGGAGAGTCCTGGCTGCTGCTGCTGCTAGAGGTGGAGGCGGGTGGAGCAGGAGGAGAGTCCTGGCTGCTGCTGCTAGAGGTGGAGGCGGGTGGAGCAGGAGGAGAGTCCTAGCTGCTGCTGCTAGAGGTGGAGGCGGGTGGAGCAGGAGGAGAGTCCTGGCTGCTGCTGCTAGAGGTGGAGGCGGGTGGAGCAGGAGGAGAGTCCTGGCTGCTGCTGCTAGAGGTGGAGGCAGGGGGAGCAGGAGGAGAGTCCTGAATGCTGCTGCTAGAGGTGGAGGCGGGTGGAGCAGGAGGAGAGTCCTGGCTGCTGCTGCTAGAGGTGGAGGCGGGTGGAGCAGGAGGAGAGTCCTAGCTGCTGCTGCTAGAGGTGGAGGCGGGTGGAGCAGGAGGAGAGTCCTGGCTGCTGCTGCTAGAGGTGGAGGCGGGTGGAGCAGGAGGAGAGTCCTGGCTGCTGCTGCTGCTAGAGGTGGAGGCAGGGGGAGCAGGAGGAGAGTCCTGAATGCTGCTGCTAGAGGTGGAGGCGGGTGGAGCAGGAGGAGAGTCCTGGCTGCTGCTGCTAGAGGTGGAGGCGGGTGGAGCAGGAGAGTCCTGGCTGCTGCTGCTAGAGGTGGAGGCGGGTGGAGCAGGAGGAGAGTCCTGGCTGCTGCTGCTAGAGGTGGAGGCGGGGGGAGCAGGAGGAGAGTCCTGGCTGCTGCTGCTGCTAGAGGTGGAGGCGGGTGGAGCAGGAGGAGAGTCCTGGCTGCTGCTGCTGCTAGAGGTGGAGGCGGGTGGAGCAGGAGGAGAGTCCTGGCTGCTGCTGCTGCTAGAGGTGGAGGCGGGTGGAGCAGGAGGAGAGTCCTGGCTGCTGCTGCTGCTAGAGGTGGAGGCGGGTGGAGCAGGAGGAGAGTCCTGGCTGCTGCTGCTAGAGGTGGAGGCGGGGGGGCAGGAGGAGAGTCCTGGCTGCTGCTGCTGCTAGAGGTGGAGGCGGGTGGAGCAGGAGGAGAGTCCTGGCTGCTGCTGCTAGAGGTGGAGGCGTGTGGAGCAGGAGGAGAGTCCTGGCTGCTGCTGCTAGAGGTGGAGGCGGGTGGAGCAGGAGGAGAGTCCTGGCTGCTGCTGCTGCTAGAGGTGGAGGCGGGTGGAGCAGGAGGAGAGTCCTGGCTGCTGCTGCTGCTAGAGGTGGAGGCGGGTGGAGCAGGAGGAGAGGTGGAGGCGGGTGGAGCAGGAGGAGAGTCCTGGCTGCTGCTGCTAGAGGTGGAGGCGGGTGGAGCAGGAGGAGAGTCCTGGCTGCTGCTGCTAGAGGTGGAGGCGGGTGGAGCAGGAGGAGAGTCCTGGCTGCTGCTGCTAGAGGTGGAGGCGGGTGGAGCAGGAGGAGAGTCCTGGCTGCTGCTGCTGCTAGAGGTGGAGGTGGGTGGAGCAGGAGGAGAGTCCTGGCTGCTGCTGCTAGAGGTGGAGGCGGGTGGAGCAGGAGGAGAGTCCTGGCTGCTGCTGCTAGAGGTGGAGGCGGGTGGAGCAGGAGGAGAGTCCTGGCTGCTGCTGCTGCTAGAGGTGGAGGCGGGTGGAGCAGGAGGAGAGTCCTGGCTGCTGCTGCTAGAGGTGGAGGCGGGTGGAGCAGGAGGAGAGTCCTGGCTGCTGCTGCTGCTAGAGGTGGAGGCGGGTGGAGCAGGAGGAGAGTCCTGGCTGCTGCTGCTAGAGGTGGAGGCGGGTGGAGCAGGAGGAGAGTCCTGGCTGCTGCTGCTAGAGGTGGAGGCGGGTGGAGCAGGAGGAGAGTCCTGGCTGCTGCTGCTAGAGGTGGAGGCGGGTGGAGCAGGAGGAGAGTCCTGGCTGCTGCTGCTAGAGGTGGAGGCGGGTGGAGCAGGAGGAGAGTCCTGGCTGCTGCTGCTAGAGGTGGAGGCGGGTGGAGCAGGAGGAGAGTCCTGGCTGCTGCTGCTGCTAGAGGTGGAGGCGGGTGGAGCAGGAGGAGAGTCCTGGCTGCTGCTGCTGCTAGAGGTGGAGGCGGGTGGAGCAGGAGGAGAGTCCTGGCTGCTGCTGCTGCTAGAGGTGGAGGCGGGTGGAGCAGGAGGAGAGTCCTGGCTGCTGCTGCTGCTAGAGGTGGAGGCGGGTGGAGCAGGAGGAGAGTCCTGGCTGCTGCTGCTGCTAGAGGTGGAGGCGGGGGGAGCAGGAGGAGAGTCCTGGCTGCTGCTGCTAGAGGTGGAGGCGGGTGGAGCAGGAGGAGAGTCCTGGCTGCTGCTGCTAGAGGTGGAGGCGGGGGGAGCAGGAGGAGAGTCCTGGCTGCTGCTGCTGCTAGAGGTGGAGGCGGGTGGAGCAGGAGGAGAGTCCTGGCTGCTGCTGCTAGAGGTGGAGGCGGGTGGAGCAGGAGGAGAGTCCTGGCTGCTGCTGCTAGAGGTGGAGGCGGGTGGAGCAGGAGGAGAGTCCTGGCTGCTGCTGCTGCTAGAGGTGGAGGCGGGTGGAGCAGGAGGAGAGTCCTGGCTGCTGCTGCTGCTAGAGGTGGAGGCGGGTGGAGCAGGAGGAGAGTCCTGGCTGCTGCTGCTAGAGGTGGAGGCGGGTGGAGCAGGAGGAGAGTCCTGGCTGCTGCTGCTGCTAGAGGTGGAGGCGGGTGGAGCAGGAGGAGAGTCCTGGCTGCTGCTGCTGCTAGAGGTGGAGGACACAGGACTGAGGACCTGGCTGCTGCTTCTCCTCAAGGCCAAAAGTGTGTCTCTAAGAGGAGACCCAGGCAGACAGGGGAGAGCCAATCAGTGACACATCGCTGGCTTAGGAGTCCCCTGGCTCAATGAAGCTATGGATTGGAAAGTGACAGTGCTTAAATGTTCACATAAACATGGTAATTCTTCTATACCCAACCTTCCACAGTTTCACAGCCAGGATCACTCTCCACATCACCAGCCCATGACCATCTTCGGCCAGGGTCTTTTGGAATCATCAGCTGTGTGTTCTGTCCACTTTGCCAAACCAAATGTTACACTTCCTATAAACCACGTACTTCCTAAAGGTCGTCATTTGGAAGCTGGTGATCTGAGAGTGTGGGGTGTTGACCCACCTGCTCACAGAGGCATGAACCTTCCTCTCTGCGCCTCTGCCTCAGAGAATCTTCAGCTCAGCGCAGCGAGAGTAGAGTTCATACATCTCTCTGTACGTAGCCTCCTCATGATCCTTCTGCCCAAACACACGGAGGTCTATGTTTTCCTGCAGCAAATTACACGTTTGAGGGAAGCTGGTGGTGGACTCTGCAGCAGATCCATGAGCCAGTGGTCCTTGGTCTGGGAGCTGCTGAGCGCACTCTCCGCTGTGTTCGTTCACCAAGCTGCAATGGGACCACAGTCATTAGAGACACTCAAGTTTTTTCTACATTTTTCAGGTATGAAAAATTTATTTTATTTTATTTTTAGGTGTGCATCGAGTCATGTCCAAGAAATAAGATCACATCAGATGGATGGAAGTAACACTATCAATGATAACCAAGCAATAAAAGGGCGGCACGGTGGCTGAGTGGATAGCACTCTCGCCTCTCAGCAAGAAGGTCCTGGGTTCGAATCCCGGTTGGACCAGGGCCTTTCTGAGTGGAGTTTGCATGTTCTCCCCGTGTCTGCGTAGGTTTCCTCCGGGTACTCCGGTTTCCCCTACCACTAAAAATATGTACAATAGTTCTGGCATGTGCCTCCTGTACTGGCCCCGCTCCCATCTCTGTGTGGAGTGAGAGACAAATGCCCAAAAATTAACAATTGTAAACTGCTTTGAGACTCAGATCTGCAGTGAAAAGGCGGTATATAAATAAAAAACTTACTAACTTACTAACTTATAAAAGCAGTTATTCAGCAGCAAAACTCACACCTAAAAATAACCATTAGAACTGTTAATAATCAGTCTCCAACTTCACTTGTAAGATAAGATAAACCTTTATTAGTCTCACAGTGGAGACATTTCAGTGTCATCGTTGCACATTACAGCAGAGAAAGGAAATAAGAGCACTCAGATTGCACACATCAAAGTCTATTATTTAAGATAATAGACAATAAATTTAAGATAAAATAAAATAAGATAAACTCTGGGCTATAATTGCACTTGGTTCGGAGTATTTACAGATGTCTATATTATACATTAGCAGCGGAGAATATGAATATGAGCAGAATAAACATCAGAAATGATATCAACAGGTAAAGTGACTTGAATGGGAGAATTATCAGATATGAAATAATACTGTAGTACTGATAACAGTAAATATCAGATATGTAGTACTGTAGTAGTACTGATAACAGGTAAAGTTACTAGTGACAAAGTTACTAGTGAATTATCAGAAACACTTGTGCAGACTCAGCAGTTCCTGTTACACATTCTTGTTGTACAGTCTGACAGCAGCAGGAAGGAAAGACTGTAGTCCTGGATCTACAGCCTCAGTCCTGGATCTACAGCCTCAGTCCTGGGTCTACAGCCTCAGTCCTGGATCTACAGCCTCAGTCCTGGATCTACAGCCTCAGTCCTGGGTCTACAGCCTCAGTCCTGGATCTACAGCCTCAGTCCTGGGTCTACAGCCTCAGTCCTGGGTCTACAGCCTCAGTCCTGGGTCTACAGCCTCCGTCCTGGGTCTACAGCCTCAGTCCTGGGTCTACAGCCTCAGTCCTGGATCTACAGTCTCAGTCCTGGGTCTACAGCCTCAGTCCTGGATCTACAGCCTCAGTCCTGGGTCTACAGCCTCAGTCCTGGGTCTACAGCCTCAGTCCTGGGTCTACAGCCTCAGTCCTGGGTCTACAGCCTCAGTCCTGGATCTACAGTCTCAGTCCTGGGTCTACAGCCTCAGTCCTGGATCTACAGCCTCAGTCCTGGGTCTACAGCCTCAGTCCTGGATCTACAGTCTCAGTCCTGGGTCTACAGCCTCAGTCCTGGATCTACAGCCTCAGTCCTGGGTCTACAGCCTCAGTCCTGGGTCTACAGCCTCAGTCCTGGATCTACAGTCTCAGTCCTGGATCTACAGGCTCAGTCCTGGATCTACAGCCTCAGTCCTGGGTCTACAGCCTCAGTCCTGGATCTACAGCCTCAGTCCTGGGTCTACAGCCTCAGTCCTGGATCTACAGCCTCAGTCCTGGATCTACAGCCTCAGTCCTGGGTCTACAGCCTCAGTCCTGGATCTACAGCCTCAGTCCTGGATCTACAGCCTCAGTCCTGGATCTACAGCCTCAGTTCTGGGTCTACAGCCTCAGTCCTGGGTCTACAGCCTCAGTCCTGGGTCTACAGCCTCAGTCCTGGGTCTTAAGCCTCAGTCCTGGATCTACAGCCTCAGTCCTGGGTCTACAGCCTCAGTCCTGGGTCTTAAGCCTCAGTCCTGGATCTACAGCCTCAGTCCTGGATCTACAGCCTCAGTCCTGGGTCTACAGTCTCAGTCCTGGGTCTACAGCCTCAGTCCTGGATCTACAGTCTCAGTCCTGGATCTACAGTCTCAGTCCTGGGTCTACAGTCTCAGTCCTGGGTCTACAGCCTCAGTCCTGGATCTACAGCCTCAGTCCTGGGTCTACAGCCTCAGTCCTGGGTCTACAGCCTCAGTCCTGGGTCTTAAGCCTCAGTCCTGGATCTACAGCCTCAGTCCTGGATCTACAGCCTCAGTTCTGGATCTACAGCCTCAGTCCTGGATCTACAGTCTCAGTCCTGGATCTACAGCCTCAGTCCTGGATCTACAGCCTCAGTCCTGGGTCTACAGCCTCAGTCCTGGATCTACAGCCTCAGTCCTGGATCTACAGTCCCAGTCCTGGGTCTACAGCCTCAGTCCTGGATCTACAGCCTCAGTCCTGGATCTACAGTCTCAGTCCTGGGTCTACAGCCTCAGTCCTGGATCTACAGCCTCAGTCCTGGATCTACAGTCCCAGTCCTGGGTCTACAGCCTCAGTCCTGGATCTACAGTCTCAGTCCTGGGTCTACAGCCTCAGTCCTGGATCTACAGCCTCAGTCCTGGATCTACAGCCTCAGTCCTGGGTCTACAGCCTCAGTCCTGGGTCTTAAGCCTCAGTCCTGGATCTACAGCCTCAGTCCTGGATCTACAGCCTCAGTCCTGGGTCTACAGTCTCCGTCCTGGGTCTACAGCCTCAGTCCTGGATCTACAGTCTCAGTCCTGGATCTACAGTCTCAGTCCTGGGTCTACAGCCTCAGTCCTGGATCTACAGCCTCAGTCCTGGATCTACAGTCTCAGTCCGGGGTCTACAGCCTCAGTCCTGGATCTACAGCCTCAGTCCTGGATCTACAGCCTCAGTCCTGGGTCTACAGCCTCAGTCCTGGGTCTACAGCCTCAGTCCTGGATCTACAGCCTCAGTCCTGGATCTACAGCCTCAGTCCTGGATCTACAGCCTCAGTCCTGGGTCTACAGCCTCAGTCCTGGATCTACAGCCTCAGTCCTGGATCTACAGCCTCAGTCCTGGATCTACAGCCTCAGTCCTGGATCTACAGTCTCAGTCCTGGATCTACAGCCTCAGTCCTGGGTCTACAGCCTCAGTCCTGGGTCTACAGCCTCAGTCCTGGGTCTTAAGCCTCAGTCCTGGATCTACAGCCTCAGTCCTGGATCTACAGTCTCAGTCCTGGATCTACAGCCTCAGTCCTGGATCTACAGCCTCAGTCCTGGGTCTACAGCCTCAGTCCTGGATCTACAGCCTCAGTCCTGGATCTACAGTCTCAGTCCTGGGTCTACAGCCTCAGTCCTGGATCTACAGCCTCAGTCCTGGGTCTACAGCCTCAGTCCTGGATCTACAGCCTCAGTCCTGGATCTACAGCCTCAGTCCTGGGTCTACAGCCTCAGTCCTGGATCTACAGCCTCAGTCCTGGATCTACAGTCTCAGTCCTGGATCTACAGCCTCAGTCCTGGATCTACAGTCTTAGTCCTGGATCTACAGTCTCAGTCCTGGATCTACAGTCTCAGTCCTGGATCTACAGTCTCAGTCCTGGGTCTACAGTCTCAGTCCTGGATCTACAGTCTCAGTCCTGGGTCTACAGCCTCAGTCCTGGATCTACAGCCTCAGTCCTGGATCTACAGTCTCAGTCCTGGATCTACAGCCTCAGTCCTGGGTCTACAGCCTCAGTCCTGGGTCTACAGCCTCAGTCCTGGGTCTACAGCCTCAGTCCTGGGTCTTAAGCCTCAGTCCTGGATCTACAGCCTCAGTCCTGGATCTACAGTCTCAGTCCTGGATCTATAGCCTCAGTCCTGGATCTATAGCCTCAGTCCTGGATCTACAGCCTCAGTCCTGGGTCTACAGCCTCAGTCCTGGGTCTACAGCCTCAGTCCTGGGTCTTAAGCCTCAGTCCTGGGTCTACAGCCTCAGTCCTGGATCTACAGTCTCAGTCCTGGATCTACAGCCTCAGTCCTGGATCTACAGCCTCAGTCCTGGGTCTACAGCCTCAGTCCTGGATCTACAGCCTCAGTCCTGGATCTACAGTCCCAGTCCTGGGTCTACAGCCTCAGTCCTGGATCTACAGCCTCAGTCCTGGATCTACAGTCTCAGTCCTGGGTCTACAGCCTCAGTCCTGGATCTACAGCCTCAGTCCTGGATCTACAGTCCCAGTCCTGGGTCTACAGCCTCAGTCCTGGATCTACAGTCTCAGTCCTGGGTCTACAGCCTCAGTCCTGGATCTACAGCCTCAGTCCTGGATCTACAGCCTCAGTCCTGGGTCTACAGCCTCAGTCCTGGATCTACAGCCTCAGTCCTGGATCTACAGTCTCAGTCCTGGATCTACAGTCTCAGTCCTGGATCTACAGCCTCAGTCCTGGA